ATGCCTGTCTACCCTGAGAATTTGTTCATTTTCTCTAGGGACTTTTGAAAATCCCCTTCGCAGTAAAACTGTTAACGAATGGCTGCCATGGAGTAGCACTACACACTTTGGTTTTGATCCTTGCTTTCATTGGGCATATAAAGGGTTATTTTACCATGTGATGAAAAGATGAAAATGCATATAAAAAGATATGACATAAAAGTTTGTGGAGTTGACAAACATGCTGATTCAGTCTTTTGCTGGAGAGCACAGGAAAACAAGACATTAAATATTTATTATCCATTACACTGACATCAATTATGAAGCATCAAGGATTAAATAGGTACATTACCTGCACCGTGAGCATTTCCAAAATGATAGTGTTGGCAGTAATACTAGGGGATGGCAAAATGAAAGGTAATTTGAAAGAATATATCCTCTGCTTTGTAATATCTCACATGCACTTACATATTCTTGTGGCCATGCACTTCTAATTGTTCAAACTAAAAGGCATGTAATACATAGATATTTTTGGTATTTTTATATTAATGTACCTATTTCTGTATGAATGTTGTAGACAGGCAGTATTTTGTGAATGATATGTGTGTGACTATTATATTTTACATGCAATTTGTAACTCCTGTGTGTAATGTGTGAATGATATATGCAATGTGTAAGTCCTGTGAGGAATGTGTGAATGCTATATACAATGTGTAACTCTTAGGTGTAATGTGTGAATGCTCTGGGAAGTGTACGTGTAATAGGGAGTTGGAGCCCAGTTGCAGGAGATGGCACAGGGAGGAGGCTAAAACCAAAAGTGCAGTACAGATTAAGGAGAAATCCAAAGGCAGGGTCAGACGAGAAGCAGAAGTCAGGGCTGGCAGCGGAATAACGAAGTCGGTAAAGCAGGCAGAGGTCAGAGTCCAGGAAATCAGTCAGTAGAGAAGCAAATATCTGACAGGAAAAAACAAACAGGCAAAATGACCAAATCCTAGGTTTCAGGCACGTCTGGCTTTTACAGCCTGCTAATTAGATGCAGCTGACCCTAATTGGAAAAGGGTTGCAGGTGGATCAGCACTGCTCAATCCAGGCAAGGGGTCAGGAAGCATTTGGCTCTCCTTCTGGCCTTTTCATTTACTGTGAGCATGATATTTAGTGCTTCAATGTGCATGGGTTCCTCTATGTCCATGGTTGGGAAAGGGGTATAGGTCTCACCAGCAGGTTGGGAGCGTTGATCAAATCGCTCCTGCCTTCTTTCCCTGAACCGGAGACCAGCTGGGTGGCTAGCACCATTAATTTCTCTAGGGAGGTTGGAACTCCCACTTGTGCCAGTTCATCCTTAAGGGTTTCAGCTAATCCACTAGGGCAGTTTCATTAAGTCCAGTGTCTGATGACAAGCCACAGAACTCTGTGATGTAATTTTCCACAGGACAGTTTCCTTGTTTAAGGGAACGGAGAGAAGTCCTGGCTTTGGAGGCACGGAAGGGGTCCTCATACAAGGAGGTTAAGACTGTAGCAAAGGATTCCCAGGTGTTCAGTGCAGGGCTTTTGGCATACAGCTGTTTATGAGCCCAGGTCTTGGGTTGCCCAGATAACAGGGTGATGACAGTTCTTACTTTAGCAATATCTGTGGCATAGGTACGGGGTTTAATTACAAACAGGATTTCACAGTTCGTGATAAAGGAGTGGAAGGAAGCCCTGCGACCAGTGAATCTTTCAGGCAATGTAATATCAGGTTCAGAAGTGTTACAAACTGCCGTTTGTAACTGGGATTTTATGTGACAAATTGCCCTGTGTCCTTGGCTTATTGAGAAGCCTATTTGCCAGCCTCCTTCCTCATGACTATGGCCCCTCTCATCAGCCCATGCTAAACCTAAACCCCATGGCGATTTGACTGTGTTTGTGGCATCTGAGTGCTGTTTGGATATGGCGTCTCGCAGTCAGTGCCTGCCTTCCTGATAACACCATCGGATGAGCCGCGCACGGCTTGTGCAGATGCAGGACTGCGTGCAGCGGGAACAGAGGACCATGGCCGGCCCCCGGAGGGGGTAAGTACCGCTACAGTACCCCCCTGAAGACACGCCCACCGGGCGGGGTGGACCAGGCCTGGCAGGAAAACGAGAACGGAAGGAGCGCAGAATGCGAAAGCATGAACAGCGTCAGCGGAAATCCAACTGCGTTCCTCAGGCCCATACCTCGTCCAATGCACCAGGTACTGGAGGCGACCCCGGAGAAAATGAGAGTCAAGCACAGCAGCCACCTCGAATTCCTCATGTCCCTCCACAGAAACAGGAGGAAGAGGAGGAACATGTCGGGTATAACGGTTACACAGGAGTGGCTTCAACAAGGAGGTGTGAAAGACGTTAGGAATTCGCAGGTTCCTAGGAAGATCTAGGGCATATGAAACAGGATTAACTTTATGTAAGATACAAAAAGGACTGATAAAACGGAGAGCCAGCTTCATAGAAGGCACACGAAGGCGGATATTGCAAGTGGAAAGCCAAACCCTATCCCCCACAACATAGGATGGAGCCGCCCTGTGATGTTTGTCAGCTTGAACCTTTTGGCGAACAGCAAAGTCCACCAAAGAATGCTGAACCTGCTCCCAGGTAGTACGTAAACCAGCCAGGAGGTGGGAGGGTCTGGGAGGGAGGGTCTGCTGCTGATTGGCTGGAATGTGTCTGCTGACTGTGAGGTACAGGGTCAAAGTTTACCGCATATGTTCGCCGTCCATGGCGAACTGTTCGGCAAACCGTTCGGGACATCACTACTGGAGAGGCAAATTGTAACACTGAGGGAGATTAACAATCTTGAGAGGAGTCTGCTGCTCACTGAGCAGAGTTTAGTGGGTGCAGGTAGTGGAGAGGGAGGAGATAAGACAGATGGGGAACAGGCACGTAGCTGGGTGACAGTGGGGCGAGGAAGCAGGGGGCAGGGAAGAGAAAAGGTTTAGCTAGTTCTGATCTCATGCAGCCTAACAGATTTGCCCATTTGAGTGAAGATGTTGGGAGCATCAGCTCAGGAGTAGCTGTACTGCAGGAAGCTGTTCCTGCTAACAGCCGTGGAAACAGCCCCTCTAGTACGGGTGGGGTTGAGAGGGTAAGGAAGTCTAGACAGGTTGTGGTGGTAGGGGACTGTATTATTAAGAGAGTAGACAGGGTAATCTGCCACTCTGATCGACTCAACCGGACAGTTTGCTGTCTCCCGGGTGCTCGGGTCCAGTATGTTGCCGACAGAGTGGAGGGATTATTGGGAGGGGCTGGAGATGACCAAGCTGTCATGGTCCATATTGGTACCAATGACAAAGTCAGAGGAAAATGGAAGGTCCTAAATAGGGATCGACCGATATTGATTTTTTAGAGCCGATACCGATACCGATAATCTGCGAACTTTCAGGCCGATAGCCGATATCTTGCCGATATTCTGTACATTTACTATTTTGAATAAATAAACTAATTCGAAAGGTAAATGCACAAAATATACATGCCACATGTAGTGGATGAAGTGTGTTTAGACAGGGGAACTGTGTGTGTTTGTGTAGTGTGTGTGTGTGTGTGTGTGTGTAGTGGATGCAGGGTGTGTGTTTGTGTAGTGTGTGTATAATGAATGTAGTGTATATAATGCAGTGTGTGTAGTGTGTATATAATGCAGTGTGTTTATGTAGTGTGTGTATAATGCAGTGTGTTTTTGTGTGTGTATGTAATGCAGTGTGTGTGTGTTTGTGTAGTGTGTATGTATGTAATGCAGTGTGTGTTTGTGTAGTGTGTATGTAATGCAGTGTGTGTGTCTGTGTAGTGTGTATGTAATGCAGTATGTGTACTGTGTTTGTGTAGTGTGTATGTAATGCAGTGTGTGTGCAGTGTGTGCAGTGTGTGTCTGTAATGCAGTATGTGTGCAGTGTGTGTTTGTGGTGTGTGTGTAGTGTCTGTCTGTGTAGTGTGTGTATGTAATGCAGTGTGTGTGCAGTGTGTGTTTGTGTGTGTGTAGTGATGTAATTTGTGTAATTTTTTATTTTAATATTTTTTTTTAATATTTAAATGTTTGGGTTTGTTTTGTTTAGTCCCCCCTCCCTGCTTCTTACCAGGGAGGGGGATATAGTATTCCCTGGTGGTCCAGTGGCTTGTTAAGTACAGTGGTGGCTCAGCAGCAGCAAGCGCTGACTTACCACCTTGCAAGCAGCTCCTACAGCTCCCTATGTAAATCTCGCGGCTCTTAGTGCCGCGCGGAGCGTTGCCATGGTAACCCGTGGCAACGCTCTGCGGCCGCGGGTCTCGCGAGATTTACACAGAGCTGTAGGAGCTGCTTGCAAGGTAAGTCAGCGCTTGCTGCTGGCCCCCACAGGACCGCCGGGCTTGTAATGGGCCCGGCGGTCCTGTTATATATTATCGGCAATATCGGTATCTGAATTGGCCGATACCGATATTGCCAAAAATACCAAATATCGGCCGATAATATCGGCCAGACCGATAATCGGTCGATCCCTAGTCCTAAAGAATGAGTTCAGGGAACTAGGAAGTAAGCTAAAGAAAAGGACCTCCAAGGTAATTTTTTCAGAAATATTATCTGTGCCGCGCGCTTCAGCAGAAAGGCAGCGGGAGATTAGAGAGGTCAATGCGTGGCTAAAGTCTTGGTGCAGGAAAGAGGGTTTGGGGTTTTTAGAGCACTGGGCCGATTTTGCGCTTGGGTACAACCTGTATAGTCATAATGGATTGCACCTAAACGGAAGAGGGTCTGCTGTGCTGGGGAATAGGATGGCTAGAAGGTTGGAGGAGACAGGGGCGGACTGACCGGTCGGGCACTTCGGACATGGTCCGAGGGCCCGGCCGGGAGGGGGGCCCGCCGCCAGGGCCGCCTTCAGGGGGCCCGGCGGCAGGGCTGGATTGGGGGCGGCATTTGGGGACTGCAGGTGCCACCGGGTGGCCGGTCCGGTGGCACACTGTGAGGGGGGGCCGGCCGTTTCATGCTGCAGCCGCCGGACCGGGTAGCAGCCTCGCCGGTCCGGCGGCATTCCTCTGACTAACACTGAAGGAGGAGGAGGAGGAAGAGCATGTGTCTGTCATCCTGTGCTGGGAATTGTGGGAACCGCAGGGAGCATGACAGACACATGCTCCTCCTCCTCCTCCTCCTTCAGCGTTAGTCAGAGGAA